TCTAGCCACGCCCCGCCCTTCTATTTCAGACCGTGAATTTTAGCTTTTGTATAGCTTTTCACTGGTAGGCTCAGCCTTTGTTTAGTTTTCAACCAATCAGCAGCAAGTCTCATCACTCAAACATATAAGTATTTCCCTGTTTGAGATCTCTGATATTATTCTCCTGAAGACGGTTGAAGCAAGTCAACCGAAAACCAAAAAAATTTTTCGTTTTGACTACGCGGCCAGTCTACTACGAACTAATGGACCGTGACGGCAACGCAAAGACACTTCGCGTACTAGACCAAGAGCTGTTTTTGTTTTTTTAAGGAGATTACGACGACGCAGCACACGTACGTAGACTTACGGAGGGGAGTTAGTCGACCATGGTTTTATTACCAGGGAACAATGTTCCCTTGTTTTATATTTGAAATAGGAAATGTGAAAAAAAAAACTTTAGTCAAATACTGTATACAAAATAAAGTTTCCAGAAAACATTGATTGATGTTTCGGTCTTGGCTAAGATCTAGGCCTACGCTAGGCCTAGCCTAGCCTTAGGTGTCAAAAGAGTCGGGAACCAGGAGAAGAGGGTGTCAGGCCTGCTCAGGCAATTTGCCAAATGCAACGATGATGTGCAAATAAATGTACATAACAATTTTAAACAGAGGTATTTATAGCAAGGCTTGATCCACGATATCATGGGCCCAGATGCCCTAGCTAGTGGCACCAGAATGTGTTTTCTCCTACCCTGAAATCCACCCTGACAAGGCTAGCCTAGGCCTAAGCATAAGAGGCCCCCTTTTTCACGATCCCCTGATTTACCTAATTTTATGTTGTGACTTTTCTTTCCTCATTTATTGTATGTGTATAAATAGGCCTTCATAAAACATTTAATTACTCACTTTTTTTAAATAATTAATTCATTATTGAACGAACAATGCTCGATCGCGGATGCGATGAAAATTGCAACCCCAACAAAAAAAATTACCAGCAGTTTGCCAAAGAATCCGGTTATCTGATTGGTCAATATTAGGGTAGTTGCCACTACGCCAAATTCAGAAAATGGGGTTGTCGCGGAAGCTATCACAACGCCGATTTAGCCAGTAAGGTTTGTGAGCATGCGGGGATGTCTGTTACGCTCTATTAGTTCGTAGTAGACTGACCGTGTAGGCAAAACGAAAAATGCCTATTCTCAACCAACAACAACAGTTCTTTTCAGAACTATCTATGTGGTGTACCGCAAGCAATAAGTATATATTATACTTCGCCATGCAAACCTTCAAACAATATTTAGTAATGTAGTATTATAATAATTATATTTTTGAAATAGTTAACTTATTGTATTGATAATTATTATATGTTTATGTGTCCTACGTCTGCAATGAATATACAGGTGGCACATTTCATAATTCTATTCTGTGATCTGTATATGTTGACATAATATATATTAGTATATATACAATTTTGTTTTTCTTTTTTTTCCACTTTATTAGAATTGAGATATACATTAACAAAAAAGGGTATAAAAAAGTACAAAATGCAAATTATACAAATAAGTTTAAAAAAAATATGTCCAAGTTTGCAAAAAGGATTTATAATAATATATTTAATTACATATTTATAGTTAATACTGGTTATGTATATTATAGTTTGAAAATAATAAGCAATTTCGATTTTTGCCACATTGACCTCGGGTGGCTTCCCTTGCATTTTTCTTTTGTGTAGATTACTACGGCATAATAGCAAAACAAGGTTTTAAAAGCATAAAAGTTTACGCAACATTGATTATTTATCATTCATCTGTATTGAATGTACTGTAGCTATATAAATTACTTTCCATAAGTATATTTATTAGTATCTATATTCTAATTAACTTCATGGTGACATATTTACATTTATATTTATTCAATGGTATCACCTTTATATCGGTAGCACACATCATTCAGTATCAGTGGCACATACGGTATCATTCATGTATATGTGTATATATATATATATATACATACATAAACACACATACACATGTACACATGTACACATACTCGTACATATATACACATACATCAATACAATGTCTAGTACAATAATAATAATAATAATCAGAAAAGAAAGTATAATACATACTCCAAGTATTGAAATACACGCCATCGTGTTGGGATTCAATATTTCGACATTAATTATGTCATCATCAGGAATGAAAAAATTATCCATATTAGCAAGCTTATATGCACTAGTACCAAAAGTGTTTAACCAATCAAAACATTACCTCTAGTAGGTGACATCAGGAGTAAAATTTATCTGTCTATGAAAAGCATTGAAGTAGCAAATTCTAAGCTACTTCAATGCTTTTCATAGACAGATAAATTTTACTTTTGAATCATTTGAAAACAGTGACACAGTACACTTTCTGGATTTACAATTTAACAACAGTGTAGGAAGTATGAGTATA